CACATAATTTATGATATTTATCATATAAAATGCTAGAAAATTTTGTTAATTTACTCCAAATATATAAGTCTCCAATGTCTACCACAAATATAAAGTAATTATAAATATTTAATTGAAATATAAAAAACCTAAATATCTCGAGGTGTCCTAGGGGTGCTGTCCCACTGGTATCCATTGGGATCATCCCTAAATGCTAGTAGAGTTGCTGTATCTGTGCAGCAAGGGTCAACTGTTGCTGCCGTAGGTTCTCATTATCTACCATAAGGGTCATCTGTGATTGTCGAAGGCTATTATTATCTACCTTCAATGATTCAACAGTCTGCTCTAATTCGATAACCCTATTAGACTGTCCTATGATGGGTGGCCTGAATGGTTCCTGTCTAGATGTGCTCACACCTATATCCTGTGGATGTGTGTGAATATCCAAACCTTTCAGCTATCCTTTCTTGACCCCACCATTTGTCGTAAGTAATAACTCACCATAAGCTATTGTAGGGTCAAATCCTTCTTCCTCTTGCCTAAAGGCATATTCAGCTGTCAATTTTTCTTGAAATAATACAAGACAAAATAAATGATTAATTGTATTGAAAATTAAAATGTAATTTAAAATATCACTTTAGACATCTAAATTCAATTTACTCTCTCCTAAAAGGATGGAGTTCTAACTTTTTACTAATAACTATATTAGACAATAATTTTAATATTATAACCAAAATAATTTCAATTAATTCATGACACAAATTAAAGTAAAATTGTTAAGTTAAATACTTACTACAATTTCTTGAGCCTCATCATTACAATATATAGGCAGTTGGTCTTTTCCTTTTCCTTTGTGCTGCCTTCTATTGGTGTAGACCTCAAGAAATGTCAGTGGACGACCCTCGGGGTTTGCTTGTTGCTGTAAAGAAAAAAAAAGAAGAGGAAATATTAAAATCAATATAAAATAAATTATAAATCATAATTCATTAATTATTTATTAAAAATATGTTAACTTTTATACCATTTTCTTTCTATAAACATTAACGTCAATTAAACCGCTGGTATGCGTCACCCTCGGTCCTTTTGCTCGATTAGCCCTTGCAGAACTTGACCTTCTCAAATGACCCTCATCCTGTAAAAGTGGTGAACACATATATTTTTTTAATTAATAGTATGATAAAAACATTAAACATTGCAATTGAAAATTAAAAAATAAATAATAATAAACACATGAATTTACTCCATTACCTCAGTCCATAAATAAACAAGCCTAGCCCATAACTCTAGATTCATATTTGGAGGCCTAACTTGAAAGTTTTTCTTTGCACACTTAGCTTTCAACTCACTAAGTGCATGTTTGAATTTGATCCTTGTTGTCACGTTCCATAAATCGTTTACAATCTTATCAATCGCAAGATCCCATTCATATGTTTGTTGACAATAATAGAAATATAAATAAATAAATAATTTAAAAACAAAAATATTAATGATAATAACAAAAAAAATTCAAATTACTTAAAATTTTAAGATAGAAATTGAAAATATCTAATTTGTAGATAGAAATTAAGTGTTTAGGGCGTACACTGAATATATTCCAATACATGTCCCGATGCTCACGATGGACCTGTCCCCACGATGTGTAAGCATTTGGGAGATTCTCCCGCAACTGGACCACAATCTGTCTTCTGACCTGTTGTGGCAAACCTCCATACTCATTTAGCTCTAATGGGATCTTCATCCCATTTGTAGGCATCTGCATGGGCTTAGCTTGCCCCCGTCCCTATCTCTGCTGGGGGGTAGCCACAGGTGTATCCTCATCACTAGGAGACTCGGTCTGTATATCAGCATCTAAAGCTGGAGTCTCCAGAACCACATCAGTAGGAACCTCCTCTTGAACTCGTCTCTGGAGGTCAAATGGATTTGGCCGTTGCAGCGGTTGGGTGGATTCAACAGCCTCCGTGCAGCGAGAACTACAGAAATCCACTGTAAAAAAAATATAACAA